CTCACTGTATCAACTTCTGATTTGAACCAAAAGATTTCTTTTTTTATACCCTTTCAATTGATATACTACAATATGCGGGGTTCTATTTAAAAATTTTGAGGGGGGCCCCCTGGAAAGTCCCCCTAAGAGGTGGAAACATCCGCGACCCCCTTAAAAGAGTAGCCCCTCAAAACGATTGAATACGTATTTCGCGATTTTTCATAATTTCGAACCGTTTCCAAAATATAAAGGTGTTTCCAGACTTTATGGACACCCTGTATGTAATACTTCTATATTGCTAGTACGGTGCCGACCTGAAGCCCAAATGTTACGGTGCAGACAATATAGTAGCCTCTCTTTCGCGCAAGGTCCAGCTGCTTTGTGCGCATGCGGTGAACATTCAAGCACGCTTGGGCATTTCTCTTTCTCGCGTTCTTTCTCTCACTTTCCAATCCTTTCCCCGATAGCCAAATGATAGCAGTATGCCAGCAGTATGCACGCAGGTTTAATCAGCACTTTGCAGCAGATTCCACTCAGCTGTGTCATCATAGTGAGTGAATTATGTAGGCACGATATGTAAAGAAAACAACACAGCAAAAATATAGAAATAAATAAAAAATGAAATGACAATAGCACGTTATGCTTCAAACTTACTATATTTTTTGAGCAAGTTCTGCTTGATTGATCCAATAATATTTGCATCACGGCATGATACATTTATATTCTCTTTTTTTTTGTTTTTCTGTCAACACTAGTTGAAATAACAGATTATGTTTGAATGCTGGCTACATTGCACTGGCATAATGTGTTATTGCAGACTTTGCAAAATATGCTCATTCAGTCTTGGTTATCTGGGTTGTCTCGCTCGCACTCGCTTAGTAGACGCGCCTGCGCATAATGACGCTCGACTATCTATGCCCATATTTGGACTTCGTGCGTCTCTCTTTCTCGGGCCTCGTGCCTCTCATTGCGAAGATACGCGACTAGCAATATAGAAGTATTATATATATGCGATGTACTGAGCTCAGACGAATACGCGGCACCAGCAAGAAACTGCACCATTCGACCAGCCGAACACACAAGTTACACCGAATTGTGCAGTTGGTGCAGACCAGCCGAAATTGCTATAAGATCCACTGGTAGAACAAAGAGCTTGAAAAGCTCAGGTTGGAAACGAGGAGGAAATTCAGTAAGGCAAAAAGAACCAGACTTGCAGCACACTGGAAGGCTTTCAGAAGCTCCCAACGAGAGTACAGCAAGGAAATCAAGAAAGCAAAGTACAAAAGCTGGAAACACTTCTGTGAAAGCATTGAGAGTGTCCCAGAGGGATCCAGGTTTCACAGAATTCTCAGCTTAGATCACCGTCCCCAACTGGGCTGTCTTAAGCTTCCAACAGGGAATGTTACTGAGGAGGCGTCGGACACATTAAAACATTTAGACCCGGTTTCACAATTCGCGGTTAACTCGAATTAACCGAAGTTCGACTTGCTGAGCTCGGTTTAACGCGTTCAATCTTCTTTGTCAAATCTTCGCTAACCAATCACAGTTCATGTTTAAGAAGAAAAGATGCGTTACACCGAGTTCAGCAAGTTGGGCTTCCGTTAATTCAAGTTAACCGTCAATTTTGAAACCGGGCCTTAATGGAAGTCCACTTCCCAGGTTTTGACGAAAACATACAACCTCGCCGGCCGAAGTCTAGGGTATATAAACCCAAGGAGTGGCGTCTGGCAGCTGAGGTTGTCCATCCAAAGGGAGTTAAATGGGCTATTAAGATCTTCAACCCATATAAAGCACCTGGACCAGACGGTATCTATCCCGTCCTTCTTCAGGAGGGACTGGGGGTAGTAGTCGGTCCACTTACTAAAATCTTTAGGGCAAGTATAGCCCTAAGACACGTTCCTCAGGCCTACAGTGGTACAAGAGTGGTACAAGAGTGGTCTGTATCCCCAAGCCTGGCAGAAATAGATATATTTCAGCCAAGAATTTCAGACCGATCAGCCTTACCTCTTTCTTAAGACGTTGGAGAGGCTGATTGACGGATTCTTGAAGAACGGACCTTTGCTTACATATCCACTGGCCTCTTCCCAATATGCTTACAGGGAGGGCAGATCCACGGATACTGTCTTGCACCACCTTGTGAGCGGGGTCAAGAGGCAATTGGAGGCAAAAGGATATGCCCTGGGCGTCTTTTTGGACATTGAGAAAGCTTTTGATAGCACCTCATATGATGTAATCGGGGAGGCGATGACCAGACACAACATTCCAGCCGCACTACCAGACTGGACACAAACCATGCTAACAGGAAGAACCCTAATTGCTAATCATGGGGACTCAAACATGCATGGTTTTTCCGCCAAAGAATGCCCGCAGGGGAGAATTTTATCCCTCCTGTCGTTGTGCTTGGTCGTAGACGAACTTTTATATAAATTACAGAAGACAAGTTTCCTCGCCTTTGGCTACGCTGATGATGTGGCCATTATAGTGCGAGGCAACTTTCTTTCAATACTAAGGAGACTATGGGAAAAGCTCTTAAGATCACGCAAAGCTGGTGTCAATCAAAAGGACTTAGGGCTAATCCATCAAAGACCAAGGCCATGATTTTCACCAGGAAATACAAACCTGAAGCTATTGAGCCGCTTAGACTCTGGCGGGAAGATATAGAATACGTTCAGTCAGTAAAATATTTGGGAGTCCACTTAGACACCAAACTGAATTGGAAAACACATCTTGATATAAAGAGATCCAAATTCTACGCCTCATACTGGGCGTGTAGAAAAGCAATGGGAAAATCCTGGGGTATTAAATTAAATACTGCCCTATGGATATACAAAGCGGTACTAGTACCAAGGTTAACATATGCTGCTGTTGTTTGGTGGCCCAGAGTGGAAAAGATGGAGTCAAAAAACCTACTAAAAGCCTACAAGGTAATTACTTGAGAGCTGCGCTAGGGATTATAAGAACGACACCAACAGAAGCGCTGGAAGTGGCGCTCTGCATTCCACCTCTAAGATTGACTATCATCAGCGCTGCCAAACTCACAGCATATAGACTAAGGTGTCAGGGGGAGTGGAGAGATTTCGAAGTAGGTCATACCAGGCTCGAGTTTCTTCATAAACCTCCCTTTACCTTAAAGCAAGACAGAATATCCAGAATACGTCAGGTGGACAAGGCGTTCTCCATAAACTTGACCACCAGGGCGGACTGGAAAAACAGAAATCTTCAGATCCAGCCGGGCACTCATGCATGGTTTACTGATGGATCTGGAGCAAACGGCTGCTATGNAGCAGGCATCTATTGTCCAGGATCTAATCATAGAGAGTTTTTCTCTCTGGGTAAATTGGCCACGGTCTTTCAAGCGGAAGTCCTGGCCATTCTGGAATGTGCAAGACTCCTACTCTCAAGAGAGACGAAAACTAGGAGGATCAATATCTATACGGATAGCAAAGCAGCCATAGGAGCTTTTGCTAAGACCACCACTGAATCTTTAGTGGTTTGGAATTGTATGCAAGCTCTAAACAGATTGGGCGAGCAAAACAACATCACGCTTGTCTGGGTACCTGGCCACCAAGGTATCCAAGGCAATGAAGTGGCTGATAGTCTGGCAAAACTAGGTACCTTAGAGGAACCAGTCTGCCAGATAGTTGGAGTTTCCTTTGCAACAGGGAAAAACCATATCAAGGACTGGCTGACAAGGGAGCACAGGATCTCTTGGGAGATACTGAAGAGCTGCCGCCAAGCTAANGACCTGATGACTCAGCCATTGCCAGGTAGGACAAAGGAACTACTGACAATGAGTAAGTACAGACAAAGACTGTGTATCGGTCTTCTCACAGGGCATTGGGCCTTCAAGGCACATCTATTCAACTTAGGCCTAGTTGAGGAGAGTAGTTGTAGATTCTGCGGCGAGGAAAGGGAGGACAGGGTGCACATATTGTGTCGCTGCCCGTCTCTAGCACTCAAGAGATTCAGATCCTTGGGCTCCATGTTTGTGGAGCCCGAGGACCTGAAAATAACTAAAATCGGCCATCTGTGTAACCTGGCAGCAAATGCCGGGTTTTAGCAGCTTGGTTGATAAAGAACTAGCGGGAGTCGCAGAAGATCTTATAGATCTAGGTGACAATAGGGTCTCATAAGCCTCCCGCTCCATGTTATCTATCTATCTATCTATCTATCAGGATATCAACCTAACCTAACCGGTCAAAGTGTGAACCTAACTAATCAGGATGGAAACTAAACTTGTCAAGTTGTGATTCTAATCGACCAAGTATGGAAGGCTTTGATTAATTTTCTTATGTTTTATGCGTTGTGCATTATGCAAAAATCCGTACTTTGGCTCAAGGAAGTACAATAGAAGAAACGTTTCTAATTTCTTTCTGCTAAAGATTATGTAACGTTAGTGACCTACGAGAAGTAACGTTCTCACATTTCCACTTTCTATTGACACTGCGTATATGAGGCAAACCGGTAAATATAGGGAGGATAATTGCAAATATGATAACCATATAAAAGTCGTCGTTTTATATTAGTTGCAAGATGCTAACGGAATAAGAGACGAAAATGCATGCAAATAAATGTGTTTACACGTGTTGGAGAAATGATCCAATATGTTTTTGAAAGCTGCACAAAACAATCTGCTTTATTTGCACTTTATAAGTTTGTACATGGATACGTATAAAATACACTATCTAACATAAAGAAAATAAACTGAACTACTAATTCTACTGTTTCCTTTGTGCAAGACACGCAAAAAAACGTAAGATACAGTAAGTGATGAAAAAAACGGTGACGAACTAAAAAAGCTGGAAGAAGAAGGTAACCAGCAGCGCTGCAACAAGAACTAGCTGTGCGCGCAGTCGCAGTAACATAAAAAACTAAAGGAGCTGTACTTTTTCCACCTTAAACATAAAAAACGCTTATTCATACGCACNGCATACAGAACGAATTATTGTTGCTTTCCAACAACACGTAAACGTTTTGGAAAGAATTGCATAGTGTAAAAAGCTAGGAAGACTGTAGAAAGTAATAAGAAAGTTTCAGTGCACCTAGTATTTTGAATGCAACTACATTTGTAACGATGTGCATCGTTACGGCCGGGACCGACCATCCGTCCCGGCCTAAAACACGGCGCTTAGCGCCAAATAATCACTCTAAAATCAGCGTATATTAACACGTTGAGCGCCACGCTGATTTTTAAGGAAGTCCCCGTCAGGTCACGCGCGCCGCTTAGAAGCGCTGAAATTGTAGGGCCAATGTTTCTTATCGCAATAGAAGATAGTTTACGTTTAAATTTTCTGTAATTCCATAAAACAGTGTAAATTTTATAGTTCTATATCATGTTACACGCTGTCAGCCAGCGGTGGTTGACGCGGCCTAAACGGAAAGTCTAGTGTCAGCCACCGATGGCTGACGTGGCGCTCAA